CATGCAAGTTCCATCACAACTAATGTGCCACTGCCTCGTAGGGGGAGCCCAGACAACAACCCACTGAAAATCAAAACATTCACTTTGGCCCAAACTGTGAGATTTACTAATCTGTAGAAACAGACATGATAGCAACCGCCCCAGTCTTGTTACTGTATCATTAAGCCAGGTTTAGCAACTAGTTACACCTCTTCGGGAGCTATTAACACTCCATTAACACCCCATAAAGTGAAACATGAGATTTTTTTTGAATGCCCCTCCCTGTAGCATGTAGCATGGATAGTCTTTTTTGGATAGCTCTCTTTTTTGGAAAGTGGAGCGGCTTCATTCCTCAGCCATGCCACAAGACTTCCCATCACCTTCTGTGAGACTCTGGTCAGTTGCTAGATATGTTTCCTGTATAAGGTTCCCTCTCAGCCACTTTTTGGATTGAGGTTTAGAGACAGCATTAGAACTCGATTGGCTCCAGGCCAGCTAGGGATGCCAGCCTCCAGGTGGGACCTGGGGATCCCTCGAAATTACAGCTCATCTCCAGACTAGAGAGATAAGTTCCCCTGGAGAAAATGGATGCTTTGGAGGGTGGGCTCTGTAGCATTGTACCCCACTTAAGAACTCCCAGGTTATATTTACCTGTGACAGACTGACAGGCAGGGGTCGTTTCGTAGAAAAACAGCTAGGGGAACTCATTAGCATAATTCATTACCATATGCCACACCCCCTGACATCACCAGAAGTGTGTCATAAGGCCACACACCCCGCCCCCAACGGTCCCCATGAGGGGCCCGGCGGTGGACCTGCAAGGCCGGCGGGAGTGCAAGGAAGCCCCGCAAAGGCCCTCCCTGGCCCCAGGCAGGCAGGGGTAGGGAGAGGCAGGGAGGAAGCAACTTACCCTCCCTCTTCTCCTGCCTCCTCCTGGCTGAATGAGGGCCGGAAGCGGGGTGGCCGGAAGCGGGGGGCGGGGCTTCATCATGTGCCCCGCCCCCCGTACCTCACCCGGGGGAACTGCGATCCCCCCTGAAATGACCTCTGCTTGTACTTAATATAAGCCTGATCTAGCTTTACTTGCTAACAACTAGGCTTATATAACACCTGGTTGCCATCTGCACCAAAATATGCCAGTTCAATGTAGTCTGGATGAACACAGTAATGTGTGTCTGTATCAGCCATGTGGGAGGAAGACTGTTTCTGTGAAATAATCTGCTTTGCTAGATCAGGGCAACATTATCCATCCGGTGTCACTTGAACCATCCACAGCCACATACAACATTTGAACCAGATTCTGTAAAACTTGCTTGTAAAGATGTACAGACCAACCCACAGAATGATCACAGAGAGCTAGAAACTTGACAGTCAGTTTTGCAAGGATTTCTGTTAGGGCTCAGTGCAAATTCAGTTGTCTTGTCATTCATTGCTACCAAGGTATCGGTCATCTACTGGCAGATTAGCTGGGAAGGAGTAGCCGTATCTCATAGGCTGTAAGAAACTGTAATCCATAGCAAAACATTAATCAAATTAGCTCAGCATGCCAATCCACTGGAGATGTCGGGTCGCCTTGAACATTTTAAAATGGTGGATAAATCAGCTTTTTATTAGGCAGTTTAATCAGCTTTGCATAACCCATGCCTGTGACAGAATACGGGTGACTCAGCCTAGAATCTACATTACTTTGATATAGAATTCATACTATATTGAACGCTAGAGACTCTTAATCTAATGAATTAATTTAAATGTAAATGTTTTAAATGGAGCAACATCCATATAAACTTTAGCCATAGCCCAGGTTAGTATGCATGACCTGGACGTAAGGCTGCCAGATCCAGGTTAGGAAACTCCTGGAGATTTGGGGGTGGAGCCTGGGGAAGACACGGACCTCAGTGAGGTACAATGCCATAGAGACCAGCCTCCGAAGCATCCGTTTTCTCCAGGGGAACTGATCCCTGCAGTCTGGAGATGCTTGGAGATAATTCCAAGGGATCGCCAAATCCCACTTTGAGGCTGGCATCCCTAAATACAGCCCATATCAAATAGGCATTAAAACCATCAGACTAAGGCTGTGGTCACACTGGCAGCTTGACGCAATATGGTGCCGCCCCTAACTGAACCGGTTGAATGTGTTGCGGGGAATATCAGCCGCACAGCATACCCCGCTGCCAGTGTTCCCTCTAAGCTGAGTTAGTGTGAGCTAGCTCAGTTTTTTAGCCTCTGGCTCACACATTTTTGTCTTAGCTCAGGAAGGATGGCTCCAGAGCGAACTAATTTATGCAGTAGCCAAATCACTCGCTCACAACTTTAATGCCAGTAGCTCACGAAGTAGAATTTTTGCTCACAAGACTCCACAGCTTGCTTCGGGTTACCCACGGAGATATCCCATGGTAGAGCATCTACATTATTGCAGTGCCTCAGCCATGGAGCATGCTGCTAAAATTCATGCACATGCATAAGTGTGTGTGCACACGCATATGCGCACATATGCTCATGCACATGTAGGCAATTAATTTTTTAAAAACCCTCCCTAGCGGCAGAATGGATCTGCAGGTTCAGACTGCCAAATCTGTTCTGCGTGCGCTCCCCTGCGTCCAGACATCCAGCTATGCGCAATAACTGTGCGAGGAACCGAAAACACCACTTGTGATGTGGTGCCTTTTTAACCTAGCTCCAAGTCAACCTATGATGGTATAACTATGGCTGGCAAACGCCTGACAGATGTGGCTGTCTACCTGTGCCCATTTGATGCGGAGGGGAGGAGTGGCTGTGTTGGGACAAACTGCCTGTGTGATCACGGCCAATGCTGATGCTAACTGGCCTTTTCTTTTAGTTCTTCATAAAGTTAACTTTGGGATAACAGGATGGCAAGGCCATAGTGGAAAAGCTTCATTATCAGAAAAGTTCTGTTTTGAGGGGAGGGGGGGAGAGACAAAAAAGAAGAACTGGGTCCAAGGGAGGTGGTGGATAGGCCCTCTATCTCTGGCAGCTAAAGGATGACCTGCCAGCATTATGTATTGTGTGGGAGACCCAGGTTCGGGTCCCCCCTCTGCTATGGAAGCCCACTGGGCCAGTCACTCTCTTGTCAGCCTGTCACGGAGTTTTTTTGTGGCGATGATAAAATGGAGGTGGGGAAGACAGTGTAGTGACCTGCTTTAGGTCCCTATTGGGGAGAAAAACAGGATATAAAGATAAATAAACAAATAAATAATGGCAGTTCACCTCAGTCGGACATTTGAAGCGTTGTGCATGCTTTCTCATGGTCTATCCTTTAGCAAAGTGGGCTAGTCCTTTAGAAGACTTGGCACAGTTTTAAGAGTTCAGGACCGCAGCTACACACACACACACACACGCACACACACGGGGGGGGGGAATAAGTGTGGTTGAGTCCCTTCGGGCTGAGGTCCCAACCCACACATACTGGATTGGGCTGCGTGTCTGGGTGCAACCAATCCTGAATTAAGAGGGTTTTTTTTTTCTTGATTGTCAATATAGGGAGACTCCGGGGGACCCCTTGTCTGCAATGGCAAGCTCCAGGGTGTGGTGTCTTGGGGAGACGTCCCCTGTGCCACCACCTCCAAACCTGGGGTCTACATGGACATTTCCACATACGCTGACTGGATCAAGAACACCATACGTGAGAACTAACATCATGGAGAAACAGGACTGTGTTTTTGCAAATGCTGAAATCCTGGAATAAACCATCATAAGTGAACCAACCTGGCTTTCGCCCTTCCCCCCCCCCCCACTCCATTCTACCGCTTTCCTTTCTCTTATTGTGGCTTAGGTTGTCAAATTCAGGCCATTGAGACCCAGGTTCAAATCCCCACTCTGCCTGAAGGGTGTCCTTGACCAGTCACTCGCTTTCACCTTCACTGACATCACAGAATTATGGTGAAGGTAAAGCAGAGGACAGGAAACCTGATTTTGCTACCCCGAGCTCCTTGGAGGAAGGATGGGATCAAAATGTGAAAGATATTGTAGGCCTTTCCTTTCTCCTTCCTGGCCATACCTCACACACTTTTTTGTTCTGCTTCAAAAGGAGGGTTACATATGGCTCTGAGGGAATATTTAGCAGGTGCGAGACTTAAAATATCTCATGTACTAAGGGTGGGGGGGGAAACCCAAAGCCTTTTCCTTTCCAGCCTCAAGAAAATTATATATATTGCACTCTGGCTGGATCTCTTGGAAGCTAAGCAGGGTCAGCCGTGGTTAGTACTTGGATGGGAGACCACCAAGGAAGACCAAGGTAGCTATGCAGAGGCAGATGTTCCACCACTGAGCCACACAGCCCCCTCCCCAAGGTAGGGTGTGAGCCTTTCTGCATGGAAGGCTCAGGCCGGTAGCCAGGATTTTGTGGCTTGTGGGGCAATTTTTTTCTGGTGGGGCTGAAGTTGTCAGTGCAGAAAGAAAAGCTATTTAGCCAATAGGAAGCTGTTACCAGGATAGATCTCTATATTGCAAGTTGTCAACCACTTTAGATGACAGTTCTCAGCTGCTGCAAATTAATCACTTCTGCCAGCCTAAATAACAATTCTGATAACAAACTGGCAGGTGGGGTGATGACTTCTATAGTCAGAAAAGCTAACACTTAGGCAGAAAAACTCTCTTAAAGGAGACCAGTTGCTTGACACAGAGTTAGGGGGGATCCTAGAGGTCACCTACTCCAACTACCTTGCTCAGTGCAGGAATTAGTCACCTACAGCACCCCACTCTGCTTAAAGAAATGTTTTAAAATGATTGAAAAAAGCATTTACAGGAGAAATGTTTGTGGGGCTGTGCCTTTAAGAAAGGGCGGAGCCCCAACCCTGCCATAGCTAGGGGCCTGAGAAGGTTCTTATGAACTACAGGCTCACTAAGTACCTGACCTCACCGAACACTAACACCAGGCATCTCACATGGGTACAGGGAGAGGAAAGAGGATACCATTTAGGTACACAGTCAGAAGATGGAAAATGGAGCCACAGGTCAAGGTAATCTCATGTTTTATTTGTTACTCCTTCACATCCATGCAGGTTTCACATGCGCCTTATTGTCCGCTGAATCCAGTCCACATAGTTGCAGACCTTGGTGTAGATACCAGGCTTCCCAGGCTGGCCACACACTTCCGGACCCCAAGACACGATGCCCTGAATCTTTTCATCACAGATGAGGGGAGCCCCAGAGTCACCCTGTGGAGACAAAAAAGTCCCCTTCCTCAAGTATTAACTAGTTCTTATGTCACTTATGAGTCAGCGTGGTGTAGTGATTAAGAGCAGCAGACTCTAATCTGGAGAACTGGGTTTGATTCCCCACTCCTCCACACGCAGCCAGCTGGGTGACCTTGGGTCAGTCACAGCTCTCTCGGAAGTCTCTCAGCCCCACCTGTGACTGTCCTTGGTCATGTGAGTGCTGTATGGCGAACTGGTATCCAGCCCTCTAGGAGGAATAATTGAATACCTTAAAGATGAAACTGTACCTGCCTCAGAGCCAAGTTTCAAGGGAAAGCTGGACAAAGAATTGGCATTTCCAGAAAGAGCTCACACTTATACTGTAGGATTCCAAAGGCTGTGGAAAGACCAAAGAGTCACTTCAAGAACAAAACTTGACTGATGACTGTTCTCTGCACATAGGAACTGAGAGCTGAAATGTTACATCTGGATGAGCCCAGCAAATGCTGTGTGCTATAAGCAGTTTCTTTTTCTTTGGTTAATATCCTTATTCCCTAATCCAAGACCTACATACCTAAGGGACCGCCTTTCCCCACATGTTCCCCAGAGAGCACTGCGGTCGGGGGCCCAGAATCAGCTGGCCCTTCCGGGTCTTAAGAAGGCTAGGCTGCCGACGACAAGGGTCAGGGCCTTTTCAGTGGCGGCCCCATCCAGGTGGAATGAGGTCCCGGAGGAGATCAGGGCCCTGTGGGACCTTTTACAGTTCCGCAGGGCCTGTGAAACAGAGCTCTTTCGCCGGGCTATAAGGAGCTGCCACCACCAATGAAGAACATCAGTTGGTTGAAAGTGAGAGGGCCCTGGACTCTGGAAATTACTATCAACAGCCTAAAGAACAGTAAGCCCTGCAAGGACATTCCAGATGAGCACTGAGAGCTGACTGCGAGCTGAGAAATTTGTACACTGGTTACTGGCTGCTTACCGTCATACGAATACCAACAACTACTAGCACTTTATTATGATTTTATAATTTGTTTTAATTGCAACTTTTGTTTTTAATGTAACTACCTGTTTTTATGTAAGACGCCCTGAGCCGGCTTTGGCCGGGAGGGCGGAATAAACATCTGGAAAAAATAAATAAATAAAATTATAGAACCCCCCCCTGAAGCCTGCATGGCAAAACACGTAGGGACTTTGTATAATAAATCAGTCATCTATCACCTGGCATTCTTTTTGTCATTTTTGTTTTGGCACATTGCTGGGTGCAGCCCAGTTTTTCTTCTTCTTCATCCTTCATCTGCTCCAGGACCATATGCACTGCCTAAGAATAAATCAGGGTTCACAACTGGTCTTCGCAAAGAAGGTGGTGAAGCTGGCCTCCTTCCTTACCTGACAGGAGTCGACATTTCCTTCCCTCTCACCGGCGCACAGCATGTTGCTTGTGATGGCATCAGGATATATGCTCTCGCACTCCCTCTGAGGGATGACACGCAGGTAAGCGCACTGCAGTGCTTCAGGAATGGTTACTGTGGATACAGCAGTCGCTGTGAGTATTTTTATTTTTGACAAACTAAAAGATTTCTCCTCAGGCACATTAAATGCAATGAATAAAGTTAAATGCATCAGGCTAGGGACATTGAGGGCCAAAGCGGACGGGACACTGGGAGTGCCCGGAGTCTTCACCTATTCAGTTTTCAGGCATGCTATGACACAATTCTCAGCTACAGGGAAGGGAGAGTTTAAGCTCCCCCCCCCCCAAGCCATTTTCCAGGCTTGAAACAGCCTGCGAGAGCCAAGATTTGCCCTCTGAAGCATTCACACACAATAGGAATGGAAGAATTACTTTCAGCAGTACGGTCTTCTACAGGGCTGTAGTCAGTCTTTGCCACTAGATGGGGCTGTCATATTTCTATCTGGGGTTTTAAATAGACGGAGGGGGCGGGAACCCGTGTTTTCCTCAGGATGGACAGGAATGGAATCTTCTTACCCAGCCCAAACCTTTTCGCATTGTCGTTGGTCAAATTTCAAAGTTTTCTCAGGGGGGCTTGCAGCATCCGAACCCCCAGCTGTATGGGCTTACCGAGCTCGCCAGAATCTATTCATAGCCTACATTTTGGCCCATTTTCAAGGGCTCCACCCCACCACCCCGTTCTCCACCATTTGGGCCTCGGGGTCCTTGCAAGGGCAGCAAGGCCCTTTGGACCTTGTTGGATGTTGCCCTATTGTTGCCGGTTGAGAAGAGGACCCCATAACAGTTCAAGCTCCAGGGTCCCAAAAATGTAGGTCCGCCACTGAGGTCAGGGCTAAGCCGGGGGAATCCTGAGGGGCAAAGCTGGCTGGAGTCTGCAGTGTCTACTTAGCAAAGCCTGCCCCCCATGCAATCTTGCTGCCTCAGTTGCGTCCAGGTCAGGGTCCCAGCCATGCACCCGACATCCTCTGCAAAGAGATGGAAGATGCTCGGTCATTATTAAATTACATCCTGGCCCTGGCAGGGGCATCTGCTCTGGTTTGCTTCCGCTTACACCATTCCATCTGCACTGTCCCATCCGGCACCAGTCTCACCTGCCCGCCCCCTCTCAGTTTAGTTACATCCAGTGTTCCCTCTAAGCTGTTAGTGTGAGCCAGCTCACAGTTTTTTAGCCTTTGGCTCACACATTTGTGTCTTAGCTCAGGAAGGATGGCTCCAGAGCAAACTAACTTATGGAGTAGCCAAATCGCTGGCTCACAACTTTAATGCCAATAGCTCACAAAGTAGAATTTTTGCTCACAAGACTCCACAGCTTAGAGGGAACATTGGTTACATCTATTGTACACGCATAGGCGGCCCTAGAGTATTATTGGTGCCATCGACAGTGGATTATTAGTAGTGTAAAACTTGGTATTCATTGTTAAATTATTATGTTTTAATTGGTATATATACGCTTACGTTGTTGTAACCTGCCTTGAGCCTGCTTGCGGGGGAGGGAGAGCTAAAAGCTTAATAAAATAAATAAATCATGTAATCAGACAGTCATGCATCTTCTGTCCCAGGGTGGAATGGCCATGAAGTCCACCAGGAAGAGTCCCAATGGGCGGATGGCTGGGGGCGGGGCCCCTGCCCCCCTGAGGCCACCCACACTTGGGGGCCATCCTGGTGAAAAGAGCAGAGGGGGTGTGAGCCAGAGGTGTGGGGTAGTACAGCTTGCTGCAGTGAGGGCTGGGCCAGGCCCGCCTGCCCTCCCCCTGCAGAGCCACTCAGCTTGGCCAGGTACCTCCTACTAGGGCTGGCTGGGCGGATGCTCCCTCCCTCCTTTGAGGGGTGGTGCCAAGGCAGGCTGGGGACGGGGCCTTTTTCAGGGCTGTTTCTCCCCTTAACCCACCCCCTGCCTCTGCAGCATTTGTTATCTCATTGGCTGCAATGGCACACGAGCTCAGACTTGCATCCCCAGATCCTCTGTCATGTATTGGAAGAAAATCCTCAGGCCGCACGTCCAGGAACTTCATTGTAAACCTGGCTGTGCACCAGTAGACATTTCCCTGCAGGTTTTGGTGAAGGTGAGGAATTTGGAAGGCAGTGCAGGAAAACAACACCTTTGTCCGCACGGTGAACCGCTGCGCTTAACAGCTTGTCCTTTGGTCACTGTACGACTTTAGATTGGAAGCAGACCCGACATGCTCAGGGGGTGATCATAAAATGTGTCGAAGCCCTTCCTTGTAGATCAGCAGGGCTATTTTTGGGCAGGAACGCACAGGAACGGAGTTCTGGCTGGCTTCAGAGTTGGCCACGCCCACTACAGCCAAAACTTCTGCACATGCGTGGCTACAGAGGGAAGGCCTGGAGAGCGAACCCCCCCCCCAGGCAACTCTGAGGCGGGCGGGCCAGGGGGGGCTCTGAAAGGATCAGGGTTCATTTAGATGCCTCCCTGGTCTGTCCAAGAGCTGGCTTGCCTGGGCGGCCCACAGGTGCGGGGCACCTGGGAAGCCAAGAGAAGGCATGGGGGTGTGGCCTAATAGGCTAATGAGTTTCTGCTGTTGGGTGTGGCCTAATATGCTAATGTTCCTGCTGGGCTTTTTCTACAAAAAAAGTCCTGTAGATCAGTATGCTGTTGTAGAGTTTGGAGGCAGAACTGTTTACAGTGACAAGGTAATAACTGCCCCCCCCCCAATCACCTCATTTATGTATAGGATTGCTGACTCTAACTCAGGAGATCCCTGGAGATTTGAGGGCAATGCCTATGGAGGGAAGAATTTGGGGAGGGAGCTCGGCAGAGAGGGATGTGATGTCACAGAATCCACCCTCTGAAGGTGTCATTTCCTCCTGGAGAACTGATCTCTGTAGTCTGGATACCAGTTGTAATTCTGGAAGAACGCCAGGCCTCACTTGGAGATTAGTAACCATGGCCCTGTTCATACGAGGGGTTTTGGGCCGGGAGCAGGACGGAACGGGGGCGGAGCAAACGGGTACGATCCCACGGCAACATCTGGGAATTGTTGCCTGCCCGTCCCTGATCCGTCCCTCCCACCCAAAACCCGCACTAAAAAAGAACCACCTACCTAGGTGGTTCTTCTGAGTAGAGCGCCTCAAGCTGAGCTATGGGATCAGCCGGCGCGTCCTTGCGCCGGCGCATCCCCGGCTCCAGCCCAACTGCGCATGCTCGAGCATGCGCAGTTTGGCAGCCTTCCCCTCCCTTCCGACTCTTCCTCCCCGGCATCTGATCGTGCCGGGGAGCGATGCGCCATGGCTCAGGGGATCCATGGGATCCCGCTGCGGCGTCTCAACTTTGGTGCGGCTTTTAAAAGCCGCACTTTTCCCTGTGTTTTCCCTGCCGTGTGGCAGGGGCCATTATTTGCTTAACAAGCCACACCCCTTCTCATGTGGTGTGAGCTGCCGCCTGGTTAAGCGCAGAAGTGATTTCCTCCCCCCCAATGCTCAGGTTCCTCCCCCTTTCCACTACAACCTGCGGGGAAAACTCTAATGGCGAACCTCCACCATACTTGCAGTGGAGCCCCTGGATGAATTTGTAAAGGTGGTTATAAGGATTTTCTTCACACATGTGGTTGAGGGTCTGGGAACGCAACTCTCCAGTTGTGCGCAGCACACTGCTACTGAATGGTACAATCATGTAATCTCAGGCTACAGTTGCCAGGATCTACATGCAACCTAACTGGACTGGCATCATCTGTCACATTGCAGAGGGTGCTGGGCGCACCTCTGAGAACTTGTGCTGAAGTCAGCCAGGGTAGCAATATTGCAAATGGGGCAGGATAGGCAAGAATAATCCCTGAAGCAGCCAGTCTTTACAGAGGGAGACTTTCCAAATGGGGAACCCATTTTGAGCTTGGGTAGCTGCTTGTCTCCCATATTTGCTTGGAAATTTTTTTAGGTAAAAGGGATTAATGCCGCACCTTTAGGGCTGGTGACCGTGCCCCAGCCTGTCACGAGACATTGTGTTCCAGGAGAGACGCACCGATTGGCCACACTGAGGGGCTGGACTCTGTCGTTGATGTCCACCAATGAGGAGAGCTTGATCATCATGATGTCATTGTCCTTGCTGGTAGGGCTGTACTTTGGGTGCACCACGAACGCCGTCCCCCTTCTCTGCTGTTCACCACGTGATGAGATGGTCATGTTGCTTACTCCCAGGCGTATGTAGGTGGGGCTGAAGAGGGGGGGGAGGTGAGGTTAGTCTGGAAAACTGTGAGAAAGAAAATCTTGACGGTATCCAGAAGATCTTGCTTCCCATACATACTTTTGGTCTTTTCCACATTCTCATTTTTGTCACTTGTAAGTTCCTGTTTCTTCAGGGAGTTTTCTGTTTTGCTCCCTCTAATGGCCAATTCAGTATTACACTGGGTTATGTCCAGCATGCATTCCTGAAGATTTAGACTGCAGGTTTCTGCGCCAGACATAAACCTGTGTAATATCAAATTGACCACCAGAGGGAGCAAAACACCTGAGGAACAGAGCCTCTCCCCCTGAAGGAACAAGAAAATACAAGGGAGCAAAATGAGCCCTTCATCTCAAACCGTGGTCTTCAACTCATGGGTCAAAGTTCTCAGAGCCACTCCCTGCTGGGTCACAAGTCCCCACAGAGGCACCATTTTAAAGTCTACTTTTTGAAAGGATTTGCTGCCCACGTTTGTGCATAGAGGGCAAAGGAACATGAACACATGAAGCTGCCTTATACCATATCAGACCGCTGTTTCCTCTGGGGCAGTGTTGTCTACTCTGAATGACAGTGCTTCTTTTAAGTCACCAGCCAGCAGAGAGTCTTTAACCAGAGAGGAGAGGGATGGAACCCACAGCCTTTTGGAAGCAAAGTGTGTTTGTTAGACTGCCACAGAGCCAGTGCTAGAAGTTCCAAAGGCCAGCATATGCCAGAATGGAGGTCTTTGTCATTATGTAAGCTTCAGCATTAGATGATCCTGATCTAAATGACAGTTGTCAGGTGATTGTCAGGTGATGCAATACCAGACTGAACTAGTTTGTACATGTCTGGGCAAAGACAGAGTCACAATGACTCAGCACAATGCTGATTGGCTGTCATATGTATAAATGTAGAGAGTGCCTACGCACTCCCCTGTATTTATGAATGCTGGCGAAGCACTCTGTCCGAGAGCTGTATATATTTGTAAATAAACTTCCTGTAAATAGTTACCACTGGACTGTGTTATGTGGTTTGCTATTGGGAGTTGCTGGTGAGTGGAACTCTGCTGGAGTGTGCTCAAGTTCTAAGTTGCCAGTTCACACTGCTGGGAACGCCCTGCGCGACAGTCTTTGGGCCAATGTTGTGATCCCATTGGAGGCAGAGCCTAGGACTGCCAGCCTCCAGGCGGTAGACAAAACAAGGGGAAAAAACAGTGTGCCAATTGTCAAAAACAAATGAACACCGCGAAGGATGATTGATATGCTGCACTGAAGCGCTTGATAGCCGTGGAGATTTCCTAGAGCATTGGTTCCGACTTGAATGTTGATCTCCACAACGGAAGGGAGATGCGGCTTTGAAAAAGAGGACGGAAACGTGTTTACATGCCTGGGATACATGTTGCTGCATAACTTCCAATTGTTGGTCTGTTATATAAATTCGTCATATTGAGAACTTTGGAACTAGTCGTGTTACATTTATAGCTCATGATTGTTGCATTTTTAGAGTTTGGGAACTTTATATGTTACATTGTAACTCCAGCTTGGCACTTTTGACTTTGTAACAACTACTTTTGGAGTTGGTTATAAGAAAACCTTGATCATTGAATAGTTATTAAGAATATACACTCATTTGGAATTTCCAAACATTTATTTAAAGGCATTGATATTAGATTTGTTAATTGCTTTCACAGTGTTCATTAGCCTCCAGGTGGTGCCTGGAAATCTCCCGGAATTACAACTGCTCTCCAGACGATAGAGATTAGTTCCCCTGGAGAAAGTGGCTGCTTTGGAGGCCAGACTCCATGACATTATACCCCACGGTGGTCCCTCCACTCCCCAAACCCCGCCTTCCCTAGGCTCCACCCCCATCCCCCCAGGAATTACCAACCCAGAGATGGCAATACTAGGGGAGCCTGGGCTTCTCTTTGCCTTTCATTACAGCTGCAAACTCTGCCATGTGGTACCCTGGACACTTTTGTAAGGGCATACCCTGGCATTTTGCAGTGTGCTGCGGTCAGCACCCACTGTCTGTTCAGCAGAGTCCCGCTGCAATAGAACCGGTTCATATCATAAAGGGCCACGTGCCAAGGCTGGGAGTGTTCGCCGCAGGTCTGTCCGCCAACAATTCGCGGCCCGATCTGCGCAGCTGCTGTAGTGCAAAAACAAGAAGACAGTGAGGTGGTGTTACACTTGGATATCCCAAGTAATGCGTGCAATAAAATGACAAAGGATGCAAGGGATTGTGATGTTCTCTGGGCAAACGGCATTTATTTATTTCCTTTGTTTATGCTCAGCCTTTCTCCCCAGTGGGGACCCAAAACAGCCTGCATTATTCTCCTCTCCACTGTTTTATCCTCACAACAACCCTGTGAGGTAGGTTAGACTGAAAGTGGGTGATTGGCCCAAGGTCACCCATGACATTGTGAAAATTCAAACCTGGGGCTCCCAGATTCTAGTCTAAGACTCTAGTCACTGCACCACATAAAGTCCATATAGATGGAAGAAGATGATGAGGATAATCAGTAATTATTTCAGAATAGTGCACATCATTGCACTGGCATAACTATTACATAGAGCCCATGTGGTTATGGTGTTGCATTAGTATCAGGGAGATTCAGATTCAGATCCCCACTCCATTATGAAAACTCGCTTGGGACCTTGGGCCAGTCATTCTTTGTCTTGTCTGAACCTACCTCACAGGGTTATTGTTGTGAAGATAAAATGGCAGAAAGGAGAAGTGTGTTGTGAAGTGTTTTGAGTCCCCTTTGGGGAAGTCCTACACATCCACTAATCTGTCCCACCCCAAATGGTTTTTGTTTTTGAGTTTGCAGTCTGAGTCTGATACACCAATGGCATTACAAAGGGGGGGGGGGCATCACATTCAGATATTGTGATGGAAGAAAAGGGCACAGAAGGGCTCTCTAAGGCAGGGGTCCCCAACACGGTGTGCCTGCTGAAACCTTTCCTGGTGCCCACCAAGTGTTCTTAGAAAGTGAGTGGAGCCAGAAAGGTTTCAGATTAGCCACTGGAGATTTGATTGGCTGTACGGCTAACATTCCCCAGTTGGGGGCAGGGGATCCCCTGCTTTTGTGGGTTCCTGCCCAAAGAGCAACATTGGGCAATGTGCTGACATCACTTGGAAGTGACATAGGTACATCGGTGACATCGTGGGGGTGATGCTCTGTTTTTTGGGCAAAACTCTATGGTTTGAGGGTGATTTTACCATAGAGTTTTGCCAAAAAACCAGAGTGTCACCCCGACATGCCTACGTCACTTCTGGGTGACGCACAATGTTACTTCCCGGTCCCAGCGTGTCCCCCCCCCCCGTCCCCCTTCTGGCATCTCGAAGGGACCTGGCAACCCTAATTGGCTGCAGGTTTTAAAAAAATGTTGCTTTGGCAGCAGCTGCCACCACAGCAACCTGCAGCAGCCATTTTATGGCTGGTTCCACCTTCTGTAGCAGCTATTTTGTGCAGCCACCCTGTGTCAGAATTCCAAAGGTACCTGCAGGCTCAATAGGGTTGCCAACCCCCGTGGTTTGGCAGGGGTATCCCGCTCTTTTGGGGCTTCTACCTGCAGGTGGCCAGCTGGCCGCCCCCAAGTCCCAACACCCCCCCTCCCTTCTCTCTTGAGAGAGAGGAGTGGCTGCGGGCCAGCCGATCGGGCACTCAGAAACGCCGGCTCCCTGCAGTTAAAGGGGCCCCTTTAACTGCAGGGAGCTGGTGTTTCCGTGCCCAATCTCCGTGGAGGTCAGGCGCATGGGGAAATGCCGGCTCTCTGCAGTTAAAGGGGTCCCTTTAACTGCAGGGAGCCCACGCCCCTGTCGGGCGGGGTGACGACGTCCCCAATGTGACATCATCACATCGGGGATGCCACGCCCCCCCTCCAGGAATGCCCCCCAAAGTCCCCCTGCTGGGGGTGAAGATAGGACTTGGCAACCCTAAGGCTCAAAAAGGATGGGAACTCCTGCTGTAGGGTATGTTATTGTCCTAGTCTGTTTAGGGCTTTGTAGGCTAAAGTTGGCACCTTGAATAAAGGCCTGGTAACAGAGGAGGCAGTCTAAGCTCTGGCACAATTACGAATTGCATGACCTGTACCCAGGGGTCATTTCCTAGAAAAAGAGGTGCAGGAGCTCATTAGCATAACTCATTAGCATAACTTATTTGCAGATGTCGCACCCGCTGACATCACCGGAAGTGTGTCAGAAGGCAACGCCCACCACTCAAGCTCCACTGGGCTGTTTTGGATTGCTAACTATGGGGGGGACACATGCAGATCTGTCCTCGCAGAGGAGGGAGAGCTTGTACCTGAATAAAACTTAGTCCTAAAGGTGCCACTGGACTGTTTGGGGCCTGGGGGCTGGGGGGGGGCTCTGCAACTTACCTGGCTGCTTTTTGCTCTGACTGAGGGCTGCTGGGAGCAGGGGTGGGGCTTGTTGCATGTGCCCGCCCCTGGGCTTTTTACTGCCGGAGCTCCGCTCCTGTGCACTCTTGCAGGAAATGACCCCTGCCTGTACCAATGGAAGTTTTCAATAGGGTTGCCAGGTCCCTCCTGGTAACCAGTGGGGGTGGGGGGGACTTACCAGGAGAAAGAGGAAGGCCCAGGCTCTGTTGCTGGCATTGCACAGGAAGTGACATCATCATGGTGTGACATTGCTGCAAAGCTCTGGTATTTGGGCAAAAATTCTATGGTAAAAATAGCTTCTACCATAGAGTTTTTGCTCAAATACTAGAGCATCACCTGGATGTCAATGGTGCGATGACATCTCTCTTGTGCAATGCTGGCAATGTGGCCTGGGCCTTCCTTTTTCTCCTGATAATTCACCCTGCCAGCCAGCTGATTGGTGGCGGGGGGGTGGGGCCTGGCAGCAGGGGACCCCTGCCTCCATGGGGCGGGGGCTGGCAACCCTAGTTTTCAAACAGTTTTTAAAGGCACACTCTCGTACCTTTAAATTTGTCCTTTTTTGGCCATCTCACTAATTTTAACCAGCCATTCATTAACTACTTTTTCTGAGTATCATTTGAGAGCAGATTGAAGCTAATCAGCCAGCAACTAGTTTTAATCCAAGACACTGAATAATAAAATAGAAACAAAGACTGGGATTCAGGAAACTTTAGTAATGTGAGAAATGTTTCCTTTCAAGGGATTGGGAGGGGGGGGAAGGGAGGAGAAATGTAATTTTTGTCATCATACCCTACAGCTGGCTCTGGTTGTTTTATCCCAGGCCCTGGGGGTGGACAGTCTTTTCCCTCCTCCCATCAGACTCCTGCCTCAGGCTTTTCTCCCTTCCTCCTGCCACCAGTTATCTTCCTCCATCTCCCACTTGTTACTGCTGCCACCACTAGACCTCCTGCCCCTCTAGCTTTGGCTCCTCCTTCATCTCCTTCTTTCTGCTCACCACTGCCTGGTGTTCATGAGTCTGCAAGCAGGTTTGGAATTCTGACATGGCATGGTAGACACAGCAACAAAATGGCTGCCACAAAATGGCTGCCTCAAGAGGCAGAGCCACAAAATGATTGTTATGTATTGAAGTGTATATATAACTGCTTGTGAACTGTGCCATTGAGAGTCAATGTTAAGCTTCGCCCTGGGCTAGGATCCTAACGTAACCAATAGGAGCCCTAGCCCAGAATATGTTTGCCAATCACCGTGCAGAGCGGGATCGCTTGTGATTGGTCCTTATTGCTTCAACCTCATAGGTTGCTTATTGTACAGTGGGTGTGGCTACATTAGCCGGGAATGTTTAAATACAGAGCAGCCAGTGTATGTCTAGTTCAGTTCTGTTCTGATGATGGATTCTGGCTGGCGATCGTTATACTGTAACTAAGCTGAAGAATAAACCGCATTCTTGCTGAAATCACTCTCCGACTCTTGTTAAGCGCCCGACTTAACAATGATCACCATAGTTTAACTTCAGTAACACAGTGTAGATCTTTGTGCAGTGATGCCCGCTGCTGCCAAAGCAACATTTTAAAAAAATCTGCACAGCCAATCAGATCTTCAATAGTCAGTCAGAAGCCTTGCTGGGCAAAAGCCCCACCTGGCCACATTAGGGATGCCAGGTCCCCTTGTTCTGCCAGTGGGGGGATTTGGACAGTGTTCTGGGGGTGGGCAGGGATGTCGTGCAATGCACTGATGTCCCCTGGAGGTGACATCAGCACGGTGGTGACATCAAGAACGATGCTCTGCTTTTGGGGCAAACTTTATGGTAAAAATGACCTCAAACCATAGAGTTTTTCCCAAAAAGCCTAGCGTCGCCCCCCGATGTCACTGATGTGCTGAGGTCATTTCCGGGTGATGTCAGTGTGTTGCACACAGCATTGAGATTGGGGGAATTTACTCCTGCTGGGCAGCTGGCCGCTGGCGGGCAGAAGCCTGTGAAAGCAGGGGATCCCCCACCCCCACCTGGGGAATGGGAACCCTAGCCCCCCCCCCTGGTATTCTTAAAAACACTTGATGAGTGCCAGAAAAGGTTTGGGGGGGGGGGCCATGGTGCCTATGGGCTCCACACTGGGGGCTCCTGTGCTACGACAACTCAAAACCCTTCCTGAACTCTGGCTCCCCCCCCCTCTGTCTGCATTTATGCAGCTAAAGCTATGGATTTCATGGGTTTTCTTACCCCCACAATTAATTTTTTTTTCTTTCAAGTAACGCTGTTCTATAAACCTGGGTGTCCCCTCATGTTTTCAGGACTTTACATCATAGGGTTGCCAGCTCCAGATTGGGAAAGTCCTGAAGATTTAGGGGTTGAGCTGGGGCTTAGGGCAGGGAGAGGCCCTCAGCAGGTTATAGCACCACCAGGTCCACCCTCCAAAGCAGCCATTTCCTCCAGGTCCCACCTGGAGGCTGGCAACCCTAATTGTGGCTGACCCCCTTTTGAGAATTGGACTTGAGGGGGACTGGCTTGGCCATTAGACGTAGGGACACATGGGCCCAGTGGGTAGGATCCGAAGCTGCCCTTTGGCTCACAGAAGTCTTCCATTTATCACCTAAGCAAGGTGATAAGCAAGGCAATATACCCTTGAGATTCAAGCCATGGCCATTGCTATTAGGCACCACATTTGAAAGCCAGATTATCCCACTCATTTGTACCCTCTTACCTGCAGAAATCAAGAGCAGCACCAGCACCGCCACCTCCTCCGTGAGTGTCATGCCTATATATGAAGCCAAGGAGAGCCTGTCAGGAGCTGTGCTAAGGAGAGATGTAGAGTCAGGGAGACAGAAGTCGTATGTATAATCATCCTTCAGTGCCCCCCTGCCCCCCCCTACTCTGCTATCCATTCCCCCAGTAGTTCTGGGTTCGCTTCCCTCCCACTTCACCACCTTCTTCTGGGTGCCATTTTGGATGGCTACAGTAACCAAACGGGTGGCTCATACCCTGTCTTTTTTCTGTTCATGTGTGTGTGGGGAGGTGTTGTTGTCTCCAAATAATTTTCAAGGTCATATTTTCCCTGTAAATTTGGTGGTTCCTCAGGTTTGCAGAATCCTGAATTGCAGCCATGACTGGCCCCAGTATGTGGATTTTTTTTATCCACATGAGGGCCAGCTCTCCCCTGGGTTATTAGATACAAGGACAGAAATTGCTGCAAAAGATTAAGCCCCCTGCACGATATTTGCAATGTATATATATAATTAAGACATCGATGAGCCTGCCTTCCTCCCAGGCAACTAGCAAGAAGACTAATGTGTTTGAAATCTTTATATCCCAGTGAAACAACTAAGACCAACACAGTATCAAAACATAACACCAGAGAAGTTCAATTAAAGCTAGAACAGCAGAAAGCAGCAAAAATAAGAACACCATCTTCTTAAAACTCAAACAAACAACGTAGTCTCAGCCTGATGCTTAAAAGACAGTACAGGCCCAAACCTCAGAAATGTCTCTGGGGTGATTCCACACTAGATTCCACTCTTAAATCCTGGTTCAACCCTGTCCCTGAACTTACACTCTACACTACACTCAAGTTCACCCCTGTAATTATCTCGGGGTATTTTTTTGTTTCCACATTACATTGAGGTCACCCTGGTTTTGCCCTACACTTGTCCCAGGATAAACGGATGCTGTTATAACCAGGGATAGATGCAAGATATTGTGTCGCGAGTTGAACTCTGATAAAACCAGGGATGAGATCCAGGTGCGGAAAGGACCTGGGAAGAGTATCCCATAGACAGGGTACCCCCATAAAGTAGACTCTGTCCCTGCTGGTAGCCATCAGTCTATCCTCTGAAATCAGGGATACCTAATCAAGGTGTCTGAAGGAGAGCAAGCTAAGGAACAGGCAGATCTACATGGGAGAAAGATACCCTTCAGATAACCTGCTCCTGAACCATTTAGAGCTAGAACTAAAAATTCTCAAGATAGAAATAATTTAAACATTCAATGCCCATTGATTGACCGGAAACCTTATTTATTTATTTGGTTCAATTTGTATCCCACCCTTCCCACAAGTGGGCTCAGAGTGAGTTCCATCATAAAATTCACAATATAGCAATATAACAAATCAACAATTAAAATATATCTTAAAAATTATCTAAAAACAACATCAGTATGTTTGGCAATAAGCAGGGGTTCTTTACCATGGAGATATTTACATAGAATGTATCATTTATACACAGGTTATTTGATAATTAATCAAAATTAATTGCTAGTAAGTCTAATGAGAATAAACTGGGATGAAGTGGGGATTGCCATTACATGTTACACAGGCCACATCATCATCAGCAGCAGCAGCAACATTTATATTTATTTATTTAATTAATTTATATCCTGCGTTTCTCCCCAGTGGGGACCCAAAGCAGCTTACATCATTCTCCTCTCCTCCATTTCACCCTCACAACAACCCTGTGAGGTAGGTTGGGCTGAAAGAATGCAAGTGGCCCAAGTTCGCCCAGTGAGCTTCCATGACACAAGTGGAGATTCAAACCTAGGTACTAGTCTGACATTTAACCACTACACCACACACTGACTCTCATCTTTCTGCCCTCACCAAGGCCACCAGGTAGGGCTGCCAAGTGGGGGCGGGTGGCGGGTAAACCCCCGCTTTGGAGGCCCGATTTCCACTGCTGCGGAATCGGGCCCTGGGGGGAACTCCGCCCCCCGAAGTGCAGCGTGGCCACGTCACCGGAGGTGACGCAACCATATCGATCACGTTGGGGGTGTGGCCCCGATCGTCGGAGGGAAAACTCTATGGTTTTCCCTCCAACGATCAGGGCCACGCCCTCAATGTGATCGACATCGCACGTCATTTCTGGTGACGTGCTGGCGGGGCGCGCTTTGTGCATGCACACGCACATCCACCTACAGCTCCCGGAGCCCGGTGAGGCTCCCCTGCCGCCATGATAAATAGACTTGGCAACCCTACCACCAGGGCACCTAAGTAATTAAAACATCCATAACACATACATTGATGGTATCTGAAGAAGTGAGCAGTGACTCCTGAAAGCTCATCCCCTGCCACTAATTTTGGTAGTCTTTAAGGTGCTCCTGGACTCTTGCTCTTTTCTACTTGAACAGTGATAGACACAGATATGGGGCAAAGAGACATATTTCTGTAGTGAACTCTCCATATTTGCCATCGTTACAAGATCAATATCCTTTTCCTTCCGGCAACATGTGACTTTCAAAGCCTTTTGGTATTTTGCAGTCAGGGCATCATTAACGGGAGTGGTGAATACTCCCTTATATCTCAGACTTACCTGTGATTGCTCTTCAAAATAATCTATATTTATTGACTTATTATGAGAGATAACTTATTTATTATGAGTAGATAAGTATAACTTATTTATTACTTATTATGAAATATAACAGGAACCACAACGGAGGATTTGGGGGATTTTTATTCTTGGCAATTACACATCGATTCCCCACTGTGATTTTTGTTTACTAATATCCTTCTCCCCTCACCCAATCACACTAAAAGTTGAGATGACACCTTGCATGTAACCTTTGCTCATAAACAGGGACATTTTGTTCCAAAAAGAACAGCTCTGTAGCAACTCCATACAGAATGAACTTAGCAGAATGACATTTACAAGCAGGGATAGAAGCTGTTCCACATACCTAGGACGCAGTTGGATATTTCGGTGATCTGATGCCTTCTTGGAGGACTCTGGTTCCTCCTCAGTGAGTGTGAGGATTCCCAAAAGCATTCATCTCCACAACCGTATAGCTTTTTGTAATGTAATCCAGCAAAACTCCTGGCCGCCCCAGTTCATGGAAGTTCCAGTTTGGGTCTCTCCTCTTATTGCTCTATAACTCCCACCTGACCAGCACTGTTTTCAACAACCTCTCCCTTCGACAGCCACATGCATTTACAGGGCCTGAGATGCGTCTTCCTGCTGTCTTAATTTCTAGGTACTCCTCCTAATAAAGAGGTGTCAGCCTTTAATTATTATTACAAGGGGCTTTAGTCTCACTGTTGGATAAGGGCGCAGATTGAGCAACGATCGCTGCTGAGGGCCATAGAACGAGAGGTTAGTGTCTGGTTAGACTGTCCCCCACCCTCACCCCCAGTCAATGGCAGCTGTTTGGCCCCTTTGTTTTTACTGGATTGGACAGCAAGAGTTCAGAGCGGGAAAGAATTTTCTGACCAACAAGGAATTTCGCAAGTCATTTGCAAGAATTTCAACATTTCAGAAAGAGTTGCCAACCTCCAGGTGGGTTTGTATATAGCAGCAGACTCCTGAAGATGTTATCTTTTAAACTTGACTCAATTTTATGGGAATCATAGCTCACATAGCATCTATGTATAGGTGATCAGATTTAGTACTAACTTAGTTTGTTATGACTGTTGATGTATGTTGTAAAAATCTGTATTGATGACTAACTGGTTGGTTTGCAATTTTGGATTTTCAGGACAGTTGTATACTGTTTTGCAGTTATTATATTTCTTGATGTGTTATACTTCCTCTTAATAAACACTTTAAAAATGAAAAAAGGAATGAGAGCTCACGGGAGGAGATTGTATAAATATAAAGACACTCTGTGAATGAATTACGAACAAAAGCAGAAACATTATATCGTATGAAACAATTCAAACAATTTGAAATCTTTGTTAAAGAACCCTTATATATTTTTTTTAAAGAGCTAGGAACAAAAAGTACTTGAAACAAAGGGAGAATACAATTAGAGTCCACAATTCCTTTGTATAAAAAACTTCAGGAGTGCAATAGTTCCACATCATATGTGAGTACAGCTATACACGGCTGGCTTCACTGCCGCGTTCACATTACGGTTCTTCAGATAATGTCCGATTCTCCATTCATTCAAAGTAAATCCATGTTTGATGAACAAAATAAGATTTATTAGAAGAGATGGTTAGATCAGGAACAAAATCATTGTTAGTAATGACTACAACAGTCCAAGGGAAACATAATAAAGGAACTTGAACCGAGACAGGACCAATGAGCCCAATTCCCGCTGGCGGGAGTGTGATAAGTCTTAGCGCCCTTTCCTTGGGAACATCTTAAGTATTGTTCCAGGGTTTGGTTAACTCGTTCCGTCTGCCCGTCAGTTTCCGGATGGTAGCTACTACTGAGCCCTTGCTCCACCCCCATGATAGCAAGTAGTTCCCTCCAGAACTTGGAAACAAATTGTGTCCCTCTGTCCGTAATTATCTTAGCTGGCAAAAGATGGAGACGTACAATGTGTTGAAGGAAAGCTTTGGCCAGCTTTTGGGCAGTTGGCAAAGAGGGCAGGGGAATAAAATGGGCTTGTTTCGAAAACAGGTCGACCACCACCCAAATAACGGATTTCCCTTTGCTAACTGGCAGATCCGTGATGAAATCCATAGAGATCACTTCTATTGGGGTTTGGTAAGGGCTTTAACAGACCAGGGGACTTCCCCCCCCCCTCGGTTCGGATAGGGCACACATTTGGCAGGAACGTACAAAGTCCAACAGATCTTTGCGCATGTGTGGCCACCAGAATTGACGGCGCAAAAGTTGCAGGGACTTCACAAAGCCCCAATGTCCAGCTAACTTGGTTCCATGGGACGCTTGCAGGATTTCCCTGCGGAGAGAAAAAGGCACATAGAGTCTGTTCCCTGAGTACACCAACCCCTCCGAGTCCCGTGAATAATCAGGCAACCCCTTCAGCAGTTCCTCATCCTGCTCAGTAAGTTCAG